CTTTCCGTCTTCTTTTGTCCATGAGGACAAAATTTAAACTACTTGCCACCGTCTTACTCCATTCGTAACGGCAGTCTTTCGAGTGATGCTCGCGTAGTCGTTGCAGACGACTTTATTGCGACCGGCCAGTCTCTCATCTCCGTCCTGCAGCTCATCGAAGATATTGTTGGCGCCAAGGTGGTTGAGGTGGTGGTGGTGTGTGACGTGCCGTTACTGAACGGCGTTGCTGCTGTGCACAAAACCGAGGGGGTGCGCTTTAGGAAGACGCCCATATTTGCGCTCATGCACCCTAACACCTCACAAAAAACAATACAAGACCAGCTTGTTGCACACTCTGCCCTTGTGACACGTTCCAGGCTCTGAACAATGAATATGTGGGTTGACACTGCAATTATACCACAGCGCCTTGCTAGCTCATGCGGCTATTCTCTTGGGTCGCTGTGGAGCAAACCAAACACGTAAAGTAAAAAAAAAAAGAAAAAAAGTGTTTTTTTTGTTGTGTGTTTGACGTATGAGCGGTATGCTCTCCTTTTTTTGCTTTCAAATATAATTTTTTTTTTTTTTGCTCTCATTTCTTAAAAAAAAATAATTAATTATCATCATCTTTATGAATGGCGTAGACGTGGCGATTCAACTTGAAGTATTTGCAGTGCACACAGACATGACTCTTAAGGAGGTGAGCCCCAATTACTATAACCTTTCGCCGGAATCAGCTCTGTGGAAGCAGATTCAGAAGGCGTATCGTTGGTACACCCCCAAGTTTTCACCACGTGATATCCCACGCTTTGCCGATGTGGGGAGTATTACAGAAGACTGCGTTCTAATGCGTGCGATACGCGATTTTCTTGTGGATCGTTACAGGAACTTTCCAGAGCCTCCGACGCACATACTGGGCTATGATGCACGTGGGTTTCTTTTTGGACCCATGATAGCCATGGAGCTTGGCGTGCCTTTTGTGCTCTTGCGAAAAGCGGGGAAGAACCCCGGCGTCCTCATCGAAAGTGAACCCTATGAGAAGGACTACAAAGAAAAGGAACCAGAGGCCATGTCCATACGTCAGGACAGCATTGGGAAGGGTTCACGTGTTGTTCTTGTGGATGACGTTTTGGCCAGTGGAGGAACGGCTTTGTCAGGGTTGCAGCTCGTTGAGGCGTGCGGTGCTACCGCTCTTGAGTTTGTTGCTGTTCTTGATTACATTATTTAAGGGAGCAGAGTTGTCACACTCCTACGGCAATGGGCGGTTTAGCAAGGTTCCATTTTTGGCACTTGTGGACGAAAGTGTACTAACAGATTCGAACTGTGGTGATGTGGTCGGCTACGATGGTCCTCGGATCATAAGCTATCGCGAGGCGTTGAACAGGCTCTAGCTGGCATGCATGCATACTATGCAATGACCAGAATTATGCGTCTTTTTTCTTTTCTTTGCTTTTGGCTCCCTTACAGTGATGCAATAAAACGTTGAAGATTTCAGTGGAGGTAAATGTTGATGTGTGCATACAAAACTTAATGATGACACAAATTGTTTTATGTATTTTCTTGCGCCCAGAATATAGTGGACTAACAGACCGTGGCGCTGCTTTAAAGAAGGGGAGAGAGAGGCATGAAAGCCTAAAGACAACAAATATAAAAACGAAGTTGAAACAATTTACTTTTATGTTTTTGTTTTCTTGATTTGTTTTGGCGACAATCATTGTGTTGATGATAAAAGGAGAGTTGCCGTATTTTGCGTAAGTCTCTCTTTCTGTGGAGGCCCACAACGTGGGCGTGCACGATGGACACTTTTGCCTGCCTCTTTATATATGATATGTATGTGCGCCCATGTGGATAGAGAGCGAGGGCACAAAAAAAAAAAGGCGTGTACGCATGTACGTACGTTTGGCTGAGTGATATAAGAGGGGATGCATGCTGTTGGAGTTTATCGCTGTTGTTGTGCTGCAACTTTGTTTGCTGCTTTTTTTTATATTTGCGAGTTTCCGGGTTTTTGTAGTTTGCGGTTGAAATGGCGGCCGTTGAATGTTCTCCGAATCATCTTGTACTTGATGAATCGCATGTTTTATCTCAAGAACTTTACGCAAGTGTATTTGGCGAAGCACGGTCTTCTACACATGGCAATATCACCCAATTGTTTGATGTCAGCACCATAACCGAAAATCCGCTTCTCTACAGGAAGGTGATTGATTTTTTGGCACAGCGATACCGTGCGATGGGCAAAGCTGGTCCAACACACATTCTCTCCTTGGAGTCTCGTGGTTATGTTATTGGGGCACCGTTAGCTGTTGAGCTTGGCATCTCTTTTGTAATGTGTCACACAACAAAACGCTTTCCGTCTTCTTTTGTCCATGAGGACAAAAATTTAAACTACTTGCCACCGTCTTACTCCATTCGTAACGGCAGTCTTTCGAGTGATGCTCGCGTAGTCGTTGCAGACGACTTTATTGCGACCGGCCAGTCTCTCATCTCCGTCCTGCAGCTCATCGAAGATATTGTTGGCGCCAAGGTGGTTGAGGTGGTGGTGGTGTGTGACGTGCCGTTACTGAACGGCGTTGCTGCTGTGCACAAAACCGAGGGGGTGCGCTTTAGGAAGACGCCCATATTTGCGCTCATGCACCCTAACACCTCACAAAAAACAATACAAGACCAGCTTGTTGCACACTCTGCCCTTGTGACACGTTCCAGGCTCTGAACAATGAATATGTGGGTTGACACTGCAATTATACCACAGCGCCTTGCTAGCTCATGCGGCTATTCTCTTGGGTCGCTGTGGAGCAAACCAAACACGTAAAGT